ATTTTTAACAATTTATTTTTACTTTACTCAAGTACAATTTACTCTATTGAATCCGTACTGATCGAGGCTAGTAATACTCTTTGAAACTAATCGTACTAATCGATTACTGTAAAACTGCACAAAACAGACTGAACTAAATAGAGAAAAAAACGTTTATTTATGTATAAATAAAATAATTTTCTGCAGTAATTTTTAAGAATTTATTTTTACTTTGCTCAAGTAAAATTTTGTTTGTTTTGAAATTTTCAAACCGTACTATATTGAATCCGGACTGATTGAAGCTAGTAGGACTATTTGAGACTTGTTAGATGAAAAAACGGTCATTTATGTATTCAAAAATAATTTTGTGTAGTATTTTTTAGAATATATTTTTAACTTTGCTGAATTAAAATTTAATTTGTTTTAAAATTTTCAAACCGTACTATATTGAATCCGCACTGATCGAAGCCAGTAGGACTTTTTGAAACTAATGGTATTTTGAAAATTTCAAACCGGACTAATCGAAGCCGGATTATGCGAGTAATATTTTTTATACAATCATTTAAAATTATACTTCCAAAACTATTGTTTATGATTATATTTTCTTTTATATCTTCAGTTCTTGCAAAACTGAAATGAATTATCGCTATATTGAATTCAACTTATGTTATTTACGAATCATTGTATGTAAATAATACTGTGGAAATATTCTTGCGAAACCGAATCTTTCTTCTAGACGTAAATCATTGTTAAATAGATTCATTATATTATAAATGTTAACCACAAATTATATTATCGTTAGATTTTCATCACGTATTATTGATTTAAACTAATCTTATTTTTAATATTAATGATTATTTCTTGTAAATCTAGACTATAATATCATAGTTTAGATTTGATACAAATCTACGTAATCATCATTGAATCTATATTTTTATTGAAAATAATTGAAAAAAAAACTTAATTTGTGTAACTGATAATGATGTTTTATTGATTCAATTTTTTGTGATTTTTCATTTATATTTTTTTAAAATAATTACATTAATTATGAACGAGTATTTAGATTTGTATCACTCACAAAATGATTTATAAATACATCATTAACTCGCATAGTGCGGGTAATTGTTTATGCTGACATCTAAATCTGTTTGAAACCGGACTAATCGAGGACTTTTAAAAAGGTGTATTAATTTTGCTTTTGAAAATTTCAAACCGTACTTCAATTAATCCGGACTGATCGAAACCTCACTATTCGAGGTATTGCTGTATTTTGAAATTGTATTAATTCGATCATCTTCTTGCAATATGTTTATTTCTAATAGTTGCGTTCTTTAATATAATTAGAATTTCGCACACACAAATCTTTTTCAATAAATTTGCTTTTTTTTACAAATTACATCATTGAAATCTGCATAGACTTATTTGAAAATTTCCATCAATTTTGCAAATTATCTTTTAAGTAAATTTTTCTTTTTAAATGATAAATTATTATTCAATTATTAATTTCATATCTCCATGATTTCAATTGATGTTTAGTAGAAAGAATAAAACAATAAAATAATTAAAAAAAAAATAGATCTACTTGAATTTGTTATCTGGTATTGAACGTATTGAATATTGTATAATGAATGGAATATTTGAGAAAACAAACCAGATTTTAGATTAATTACATTATTTTATTAAAATTTATTATCTATTTAATGGCACTTGCATACAATATGTAAATCTGCCTAAACACTTTGTTTTTAAGTATATTTAATATAATAGAAATACTGTTTATTTTTTTATTCTATTTATTTACAATTTTCATTAGTTTTTGAGGCTAACGACCAAATTCTTTCTATTTATTTTATTTTATAATAATTTCTTCCTCTGATTCAATCTACACATCTACAATATTAGCATAGAGTAATAAAAAATATGATAAGATTTTGTCTATTTGATTTTATTTATCTGATCGTTATTTGGTTTTAATCGCTTTCCTAACGCCTCTTGATAACAATATAATAAATTAAATTTTGTAACAGATTTCTTGTTACAATATAACGATAATGAAACCATTGTCCCAGTTTCATATTTCCTATATAAATCAGTTTACTATTGATTATTTCGCTGTTCGTGTTTTCACTTTTGCAATTTTGTTATATTAATAATATCATTAATGCGGGCAGAACGTTTTGTTATGTAGCTAAAGTAATGTAATAATTAAAGGAAAATTCCTTTAATTGTTACTATTTATTTCATATTATTCCTATTTTTTACTTCAGTAATGCTGATAAGGTTTCTAAATTGTAATATTGAGCTTTGAACAACTAGACTTTATTATATAATAATATATAAAGACTGATTTAATTTTATTTAAACGTAACGAAAATAAGATTACAGTGGAACCTCGCATAATGAGCATTTCGCTAAACGAGCAAAATTAATTGTAAGAAAAATTACTCGCTTAACGAGCGATGTTTCGCATAACGAGTGACGATGAGAAGAAAAGTCCCGGATTGCGTGCCTGTTACAACATTTTTAAAACTTTTGTACACATTTTAAGTGTATTTTTGAATATGTTTCACCATACGAGTAAAAATCCGGAAATTTTGGATTAATCTCGTGATGCGGGATTTCACTGTATTTCGTTATAATACAGTCAAAATTAGATTTCAGTTTCTGACGTTATAACCGATTTGTTAAATATAATAATCGCTATAACCGATTTTAAGTGATATGAACTAGAAACATAATATAATTGTTGCAAAATCAATGCAATTTTATAATATAAGATGATTCAAGGTTTGTAGAAGTATTTGTGTCAATGAACCAAAATTCAAGGTTTAGCAAAATGGTATTGAATAAGTTTTAGTATTAATAAATAAACCTGCAGAACGTTTGTGTAATTTAATAATGTTTTGGTTGTAAATAATCAGTCATTAATATACAAGCTGGCGCAAAAGTAATGTCATAATTTGAATTGACTGCCATTTTTTGCAAATGGCGCCGAATGTCACTGTGCTTTGACATTTATGATGTAGAAGTATATTGAATTAGTTGTCAGCAAGCCATGGAGCGATACACACCTCAAGAAAGTGGATTTATTGTTACTGCTTATTTGACAAATTTTCAGTCTGTTGTTTAAACGCAACGTGAATTTCATCGTCGTGTTCCATGTGCTCGAACAAGCGTTTGGCTGAGCGCCTCGTCCAAGCTGAGTTTTTTTAAATCTCGCGTTTACCACAACAAACCACGAACTTTGCAAGACTTGAAAACTATCATTGAAGAAGAATTCGCCAATTTGGAGCCAGATGTTTTGTGAGCAACAATTGAAAATGCCATAAAACGAGCGAATTTATGCATCAATTCGTGAGGTGGCCATTTGAACGATATATTTTTTTTCAAGTAATGTCACCAATTTTACACTTTCAAATAAACTTTTGATGAAAACGGAGCTCTTTTTTTTTTCATTTTTAACAAAATGGCAGCCAATTCAAATTACATCATTATTTTTGCGCCACCTTGTAGAAACTTTACATTTCTATGCATAATTCAACTAATTTATTATGTAATTGCCTATAATTGAATTGAAATAACTTATATTATTAATTAACTTACAACTGAAATATTAATTTAGATATTGTTGTATTGAATTGTATAATATTTTAGCTGAAATATTTACCAATAAATATTAAAAAATAATTAATTAAATTAAAATTTGAGACAATATTTAATAGAAAGACAAGTTTCTGAATTACAAACATAAATTTTAAATAATTTCTGATTTATAGAGTTTCAGTGTTTTAATTTTACTTTACTTATTTACTTCTTTCTGTAAACATTTTTAATCAAAATATTTTGAATAATTACAAATTTTGATAGTTTTTCAAATTTCTCAAATTTAACAACGTTTTATATAAATACAAATTTTCACTTCTCTTTTTGCTGATAATATATATTTTCATTTAATTTTCTATTAATTATAAAAATATTAGGAAAATTTTGTTCAAAGAAAAAAAAATATATCTTTGTATATATTATAATTTTATAAAAATTTAGAATTAACGATAGTTTTGTTAATTGCAAGTAATAATGATATTATTTGAAGTTAATATATGTAGAACCAGCATTGGTTTTGTTAATTAATATTTTGTATGACTGATTTTACAAGTAATAATGATTTGGATTTAATTTTCTATTATTGAAAAAAAAATGTATATCTTCTTATATATTCTAATTTCTCTAGATTACAATAGAAATATATAGTAAAGAATAGTTACTTCAAGTTAACATATGTAGAATTAACGATACTTTTGTTAATTGCAAGTTTTTACGAGTAATTCTACAAATAATATAAATTTTAATTTACTTTTCTATTATTTAAAAAAAAATGTATATTTTCTTATACATTGTATTTATTTATTGCAATTTAGTGAAATATGCAGTAAAGAATAGTTACTTGAAGTTAGCATATGTATGAATTTACGATGGTTTTGTTAATTACATTTTTTTACTACTTTTTTACAGGTAATAATGATTATACTTTACTTTTCTTATAATTAAAAAATAAAATGTGTAGTTTTACGAATGTTTAAAATTATTACCAACAGAATGGATTAAATCCATAATAAAAAAATAGAAAATACAAGAGATTTACTGCTTAGATTTTTTTAATAAAAATTCTTCACTAGATACAAAAATATCTGAAATTTATCAAAAAAATGTATATCTTCTTATATATTCTAATTTTTATTGTAATTTAGATAAATAATTAACGATGGTTTTGTTAATTTTCTTATAATCAAAAAAGAAAATGTGTATATATTCAAATTTTGATCGTATAAATACATTGTATAAGAATTATTAGCAAAGTAACAGTTAGTAATGTAGAATTAACAATGGTTTTGTTAATTACTAATATTTACGACTGGTTTTACAGTTACTACAGTGTTTCTATTTGTTTCGTTTTCCAAAATTTACTTTTTTAAATTAAAATTAAAGAAATAGTTATAATATAATAATAAAGAATTATTTACCTTTTCGGATTGTTCTTTTACAGTGAGAATTGGTTTGCACAGTAGTAATAGTAGTTGTAGTAGTAGCAGCCGATCCGGTATATTCGCATGCGATTGATTGCAGAGCACCGACAATGAATGTGAACGTGCGGCGTTATGGAGTGTGTATTAGTAGTATCAAAACGAATGCATGAATTTTAACCGGACTGTAATATTATAGAAGGGGACCCCGGCCAGATTTTTAAGTACGTGTAATAATGTAATTTACAACGATGTCCCAGAACCTCTCTCACTCACTCACTCTCACTCGTATTTACATCTGCAACTATCTTATTTCAACATTCTTGAGACGTTGATATCGAGAAGGATCATCGTTAACGGAAATCGTCCTCGCGCCAAACCCATCCGCACTCATGATCATCCTTTAATCGACATTAATTACAAACGATCGCATCTACTCATCTCAGGGACACAAAACATAAGCACATGTATCATGATCTAATAGGATAATCGTTTAATTGATGCTCGGACGAAGGGATTGCATCCTTAAGGAAACACTTACTTCTTGTCTTACACAACATCTAATTCATTAAATTATTATTAAATTGTTTTTAATGAACATTGACTTTCTTCAGTTAATATGAGGATGAGAACTACGAAAGTAGAAGAGATTTAGTATTTTAGTCAGTATCATAAGATTTTCTTAAAGCAGCAACAAAGCGATTTGATAATTGCCAAAGAGAAGGATTGTAATCAATAAAAACATACTTAATTTGTATCATAAATGCAAATTGTTAAATTAGTCTTAATAAAAATGATATTTATTCAGTTGATACAATTGTTTATAATTATTAATATTATAATGGATTAAATCTGTATTAAAAAAATAATTTGTATCTAAATATGAATTTTATACAATTCTGCTAAAGAATGTTCTTCAGTAGCTGCAAAAAAATATGTCAAAATTCCAAAGAAAGTGGATATTTTATTGAAATCTTTCATATTGAAGTAGAAAAATTAATTAAAAACATTCTTTAATTAATAGGTTTTAACCATTTATTTTAACAAAAGCTTTTTTTGAGGCACAAGAAACGTACATAAAAATTGTTTTAAATATTTCATTTCTATCATATAAAGCTAATTAAATAAATAATTAATATATTAGTCTCAATGAAAAAGATATTTTTTTCAGCAAAAATATAGTCCAAATCTTTTAGATAATTTTTAATAATTATATTGTTCAGAATTTATTTTGCTCAAGATTCTTCAGTAGTTACAAAAATATGTAAAAATGTCCATTAATATGGATAAAGTATTGAACTATAGATTTCAGTCATTAAAATCTTGCAACTTCTAGTAGAAAATTAAAGGAAAATACTTTAATACAATTAATTACTGAAGTTAGTAACAATTTCCATTGATAAAAATAAACTTTTTTTTAAAATTCATAATTACAAATCAAAAAACTGATTGAAATATTTCTTATAACAAAAATAATCATCTATTCATTCTCAACAAAAAATTATAAAAATTGTGAATAAAAATGATTCAATCCTTAAGAAACTGTATGTGTTTCATTTTGATCAATTATTTGTAAAATTAATACAAATAAAACATAAATCATTAATAAAATATTGAATAATAATGTTGAATTCATTAAAATCAGTAGTTAGTGTACTCAAGTATAAAAGTAAATGAAAAATTCTTTAATTAACAAATTTCTCTTGATAGAAATTAACTTTTTTTTCTAGATTCGAATTACTAATCGAAATAATCTTATTATTTTAGAAATGTTTAGTAAAGTATTTATACAACTCATTTATTAATGTATTATTTTATTTAAACAGAAATTAAAAAAAGTATAGAAAAATTGTACATTAAAATGATTGAATCTTTAAGAAACATAGTGTATTACATGTAATTAATTAAAGTTGTTGACATTTTGACATTACGAGAATGCTTTTTTTTAGATGAAACAAAATAATTAGCAAATTAATTGATTGAATCCTTATGAAAGCAATTACTTGAAGACTTATAATCTAATTGCTATAGTACTTATAAAAACATAAGAGAATTTGCAATATTTTATCTTAGTTCGAGACATTCATCTAATTAATTACATCATGAACGATTTGTTCTATTATATATTTTTATTTAGTTTCAAAATATAATAAAGGTAAATAAACAAGCAAATTCGCAGAATTATTAATAAAATATTTAATTTGATGATTTATTTAGTTGGTGATTCAATTAATCATTAAGAATACAATTAAAAAGTTGTTATAAATTTTATTAATTATATAATGAAATTCAACTATTTATAGATTCAAATTTAGTTAAAGTTTCATCAATCTAATGAATGAAATTATTAATAATATATTGTTGTGTATACGATCTTTCTAAACTAAAGTATTTGACCATTAAAATTGTGTTTTTTTTAAGAAAAAAATTGACAAATTTTAAATAAAATTAAGTTTTCTTCGGCCTCAATGGAAATATTGAAATTGTTGTGATTACAATAAATGTAAAATATTAATCTATGTAGTATACTAACCTTCAATATTTGATCTGGAAAAATTAGTATCTCGTGACATAATAAATTTAGTATATTAATGTGGAATAGATGACGCTCTTAATAAATATATAATATATGTGGAATTTCATAGTTCTGACAAATCACAGTTTATTTTTTTTATAATAATTTGTAGCATTCTCAGATTGCGTGATTTTTGTAAATTGAATGGATACAATTGGTCGAAGATAGCTCGATTCATCGTCGAAGAAAGTTTCTCAATGGATTCCTCCGATACTTTCCAACGAATTAGCGTGAATGTTCTAATGAATTTAGTTCTTACGAATTCCAGCAAGTGTCAAAGAAAAAGAAAAACCGATAATCATATTTCTAATCGTTATCAATGCAAAAATGTTTACTACAAATGACAGTTGAATTGTCATCGCTGTCAAATTAACGACATGTCAATAGTTTGTTTACAGAAAAATAGTTGTTAAAATTACTATAGCAACAATAACGAAGAATATTCAAATTAACCGGAGTAATTTCTTGTAAGTTAATAAAAACAGAAACATGAACATATCTTTATTTTTATTATTTTGTTGATAAAATGTTTACTACAAATGACAGTTAAACTGTCATTGCTGTCAAATTAACAAATATTCTTTAATGACTAGTTATTAATAAAAAATGAATCCTTAAGAAACTGAGAGTGTTTGAGTATTTTTTTTACAATATTAGTATTAATGAAAATGATATTTTTCAGTTCTATATGCAAAAATGTAGCACAAATCTTTTGTATCTAAATAATTATAATATTGGTATTATGTAGTAATGATTTATTATTTTGTTGTTAAAAAGTTTACTACAAATGACAGTTGAACTGTCATCGCTGACAAATTAACCACATGTCAATTTGTTTACACAAAAATAGTCGTTAAAATTACTATAGCAACAATAACAAGAATAATCAAATTAATTCTAGTAATTTCTTGTAAGTTAATAAAAACAAAAACATAAACTAAGCTTTATTGTTATCATTTTGTTGTTAAAATGTTCACTACAAATGACAGTTGAACTGTCATCGCTTCCAAATTAACAACATGTCAATAGTTTGTTTACACGAAAATAGTCATTAAAATTGCTATAGCAACAATAACATAAATAATTAAATTAACTAGAGTAATTTCTTGTAAGTTAATAAAGACAGAAACATAAACAAATCTGTATTTTTATTATTTTGTTGTCATAATATACACTATAAATTACAGTAAAACTGTCATAGCTGTCAATCACATGTCAATAATTAATGTATAATTGACTTTATAAGAATATTTGAAAGTAACAACTCAATAATATGTATTAATAAAGTAGACTTTTTTAAATGATTCAGTGTTATAAATAATGACTATGCAATACATTAATTACAACATCATCTTTTGTTGTCATTGTTTACACAAAAAATAGACGTTAAAATTACTATAGCAACAATAACAAGAATAATTAATCAAATTAACTCAAGTAATTTTTTGTGCACATTTTAAGTTTCGAGAAAAAACAAAAGAAATGAAAATTCTCCGAGGTGCGAATTTCTTAATCAAACGTGCGGCAAATAATCGAAGAATGCGTCCTAGAAACAACAGCACTGAAATAATAAGTAACAAAAAGAATGAAAAAATAAACTAATTTCGTCCCGCGCATATCGTAATCAGCATTGAGAATTTCGCTCTAGAATTGTGAAAATCTTGATAATAACACACACACACAAAATATATGAAACGTTCAATTTCAAGTACAACGATTTTGTTTATTGTTTCAATTATTTGTAATACTTGATATGATTGGAAATAACAAACATTTGAGAATATTAGTAATTAATGTAGACATAAACAAATTATGAAAGTTTAAAGATTGAAATTTTACAATTATTTTAATATTTGATCTGATTTAAAATAACACAAATTTAAGAATACAAAAATCTCACACAGTGCGTATTTGAAAATTTCTAAAAAAAAATGTTATTTTTAATTTAGTTCCTCAATTAGTACGGTATCAAATAGTCCAGTATAACCATAGTGCTGTAATTAACTTTTTTTTAAATTAATAGACTCAATTGATTTATTTATTATCATCAAATGATAACAAAAAAAAATTAACAAAATGTAACAAATCAAACTTGATGGAATTTTCCCCACAAACTTTGTCTACTACTTTATGAAAATTTTTATCGCCTCAGCACGAGATACGTTTATCTAAATGTGAATATTGTTTATGATTTACATCGCTGATTGCATGCACTTATTACCATTGATTTTTCACACATTCTATTTACTTAATAAATCAAAGCTTAATTTGATTGCATAAGCTCACGCACAATTCTTGGAACCGGACGTCTTCACAGAACGAAGACGAAAATTCTCTAAGACGCACATAGATCAAAACGTTTCACATTAAATTGTATATTGTATAAATTGATGTATTGAATAAACGTTACGTAATCGTTCGTGCCGAGGTTGCAACTGCAGACCTTAACAGTTCCGTTTATGGCAGACAGGAAGTGTTATCCAACTAAAGGGCAATTAACAAGGTCTTCTTGGATACAACATGAAACAGTATATTTTATTATATGTTGGTGTTATTATTATAATCATAACCTTCAACTGTCATGTTGACATCTTAACAATGTAAAGATTGATACTT